TACTTATTGGTCACCTAGAAAAGTGGGTGTGGTTACAGGGATAGGCCCTAAGTCGGTTCATATCTTATCTTAAGCCAGAACCTTTTTCAATGAATGCTGGCAGCTTCTTCTCTTCCTCTGCTGATGTCTCTTGTACACTATACACTATACATGCTATTACACTATACATACTGCCATTAGGTCAAATTATTAGGAAGCACAACGTCAGCTTTCATCCTTATGCTGACTATATACAGCTTTACCTTCCCATTAAAACTAAAAGACAATGGCTCTTTAGTGTCTGTCTTTAATGGCTGTCAGTTTCCTCCAGTGAATAAAGGCAAGTCAGTGGTTATTATTTTTGGTGGTTCTCATCACATTAATAGTGTCTCCAATAGCCTTGGTCATTTGTCCCCATATGTGAAGACTTCTGCTAGAAATCTTGGTGTTATCCTTGACTCTGACCTCAGATTTGATGAACAAATCAACTCTGTGGTAAGGAGTAGCTTTTGCCAGCTCAAACATTGCAAAGCTTAAGCCTTTTCTCTGTTTTTCTGACCTGGAGAAAGTTATTCATGCATTCATCCCCTGTAGAACTGACTACTGTAAATCTTTGTATAATGCAATTTTAACCAGTCTTTATTGCAACACTTACAGTTAGTCGAAAATGCAGCAGTTAGGTTACTGACCAGTACCAAGAAAAAAAGACCATGTTACTCCAGTCCTTTCTTCACTTCACTGGCTACCTGTCCAGTTCAGCATACAGTTCAAAGTGCTTTTATTTGTTTTTAAGGCACCTAATGGTCAAAGCTCCTCGTATGTTGGCAGTATGCTCACTCCCTCTACCACACCGCGAGCTTTGAGATCATCCTCACAGAACCTGCTGGCTGTTCTTTTGGAAGCTTAAGGGCGATTTTGCTTTTGCAGTTCATGCTCTGAAACTATGGAACATTCTACCCCCCACTGTTCACGAAAGCACCTTCAATCACTGCTATAGAAACTCGCATTTGAATAGTGAAGGGTTGTGGGAATTATACATGTTAAAGTCTGTGTTTTTATATCTACTCATCTTGTTTTATCTCATTTTATTATTTTTGTACCTATTTTTTTATTTCCTATTATGTTACTTTACTTCCCCTTATGTAACTCATGTTATTATTTTTGTTTTACGTTCTTAATTTAAGGCACTTTATTTGGGTTCCCTTCATGAGCATCGTACACTGTTAGTACCTTCATATCATTCAGTCATCTGTGTGTGTGTCAGTGCAGTACCCTGGAACTTTGGGTTTATTAAAGCAACTGGCAGAGATGGAGAAACTCCAACACTGTAAAGACCATGAGATCAGTGCGTGACTGTGGGTACTCTTGCCATTAATAATACTCTACTGCCACCTGGTGGACATTCATGAGAATGACACTTCTTATGCCTTTGTAATGAATTCCACACAGCAGCATTAAGACATATTATTTTGTGTGTCCTTACAGTGAGGCCTGATGATATCTACAGTGAGGCCTGATGGTCTCTACAGTGAGGCCTGACGATCTCTACAGTGAGGCCTGACGGTCTCTACAGTGAGGCCTGATGGTCTCTACAGTGAGGCCTGATGGTCTCTACAGTGAGGCCTGATGGTCTCTACAGTGAGGCCTGATGGTGTCTACAGTGAGGCCTGATGGTCTCTACAGTGAGGCCTGATGGTCTCTACAGTGAGGCCTGATGGTCTCTACAGTGAGGCCTGATGGTGTCTACAGTGAGGCCTGATGGTCTCTACAGTGAGGCCTGATGGTCTCTACAGTGAGGCCTGATGGTCTCTACAGTGAGGCCTGATGGTCTCTACAGTGAGGCCTGATGGTCTCTACAATGAGGCCTAATGGTCTTTACAGTGTCACAGTTTCTCCACATCTGCCAGCTACTTTAATAAACTCACCCAATCAGAGGAGCTGCACTCTCACAGAACAGCACCCAGCCTATGATGGCCTCCCTGGAGCATCAGAGCCAACCAGGTTCCAGATCACAGTCAGCTCCATAAAGGACAGGCTTATCACACATTTATCCTTTAGCCAGTGTTGGAATGGAGGACTGAAGGTCAAGCTTTTAATTACTGTGCTGTGATGCCTTCTGCCTTCCACATCATTTCTAGCTAGGTGATTCTGTTTATATATATATATATATATATATATATATATATATATATATATATATGTGTGAGTGTGTGTAACAGAATATACAGCGGGTGAAATAAGTATTGAACACGTCTCAAATTTTCTAAGTAAATATATTTCTAAAGGTGCCATAGATGTCCATAAATTATGTGTAATATAATGAGAAATGACACAGGGAAAAGTGTTGAACACATGAAGAAAGAGAGGTGCAAAAAGCCATGGAAAGTCATAACACCAGCTGAAATCTATCAGTAATTAGAAAGCAATCCTGCCACTTAGTGCAAATTAATATCAGCTGGTTCAACTGATGGCCTATAAAAAGGTGTCTCATTACCAAGGTGCCACACGAGAAACATCTGATGATGGGTGAAACCAGTGAGCTCTCACAAGACCTTTGCAACCTTATTGTTGCAAAACATACTGATGGCATTGGTTACAGAAGAATTTCTAAACTACTGAAGGTTCCAGTGAGCACTGTTGGGGCCATAATCCGGAAGTGGAAATAACATCATTTCACCATAAACCGGCCACGACCAGATGCTCCCCGCAAGATTTCAGACAGAGGAGTGAAAAGAATTATCAGACGAGTTGTCCAAGAACCAAGGACCACTTGTGGAGAGAAAGAAAGACCTACAGAAAGACCTGGAATCAGCAGGTTCAGTTGTTTCAAAGAAAACAATAAGTAACGCATTCAACGTCCATGGCCTGTGTGCACGCTCACCACGCAAGACTCCATGGCTGAGGAAAAAGCATGTTGAAGCGCGTTTAAAGTTTGCTCAACAACATTTAGACAAACCTGTGAAATACTGGGAGAATATAGTTTTTGCAGATGAGACCAAAATTGAACTCTTGACGATTTGAAGAGTGTTTGTGTGGAAGAATGGGCCAAAATCACCTGAGCAATGCATGCGACTAGTTTCTCCATACAGGAGGCGTCTTGAAGCTGTCAACACCAACAAAGGCTTTTTTACAAAGTATTGAATAAATTTCAGTAAGCATGTTCAATACTTTTTCCCTGTCTCATTTCTCATTATTGCACATAATTTATAGACATCTATGGTTTGATTTCTTTGCATGTATAGATTGGATGGGGTTCACACCTGGTGAGAATTTCATGTCAATAGCGCCTTTAGAAATATATTTACTTAGAAAATTCGTGACATGTTCAATACTTGCACCCCACTGCGACCCAGAAGGATAAGCAGTTTAGATGATGTATGATCAGTATTAATATGAAATATAAGGAACAGCAGCTGTCCAGCACTGTCCAAGACTTTGATGACAACACAGAAGTGCTACCCATCAAAAGAAAGCAGTAAGTTTTGATCCTATTTTGTTTCATGTTCTTTATTACGTCTTACACAGCAGTTAGTCCCGACCTTACAGTCTGATTGGTAGAGAAGCGTCTAACCGTGCTGATATTTATGATAACTTCATGGCTTTTTACACCAATACTGTATCACTCAGCTGACACATTGGCAAGTAACAGCCAGCTTTATGCAAGTTTCATGCTGGAACAGGAAAGGTTCTTCCCCAAACTGTTCCAAAAAGTTGGAAGTGTACAGTTGTCCAAAATGTCTTGTTCTGCTGAAGCATTAAGATTCCCTTCACTGGAACTAAGGGTTCTAGACCAACCCCTGAAAAACAACCCCGTAGCATCATCCCTCCTCCACCAACTCTACTGCTGGCACAGTGCAGTCAGGCAGGTAACGTTCTCCCAGCATTCGCCAAACCCAGACTCGTCTATCAGACTGACAGATAGAGAAGCTGATTGGTCACTCCACAGAATACGGTTCCACTGCTAAAGAGTCCAGTGGCGGCGCTTTACAGCACCCCATCAGACGCTTGGCGTTGTGCTTGGTGATGTAAGGCTTGCATGCTCAAATTCACTGAGCTCTATAGACCCGTTCTTTCACTAGTGTGTGTAAAGGCAGGCTGCATGGCTGGGTGCTTGATTTTATACACCTGTGGCAATTAGACTGAAAAACACCTGAATTTAATGATTAAGAGGTGTGTCCCTATACGTTTGTCCATATAGTGTATGTTATTGCATCATGCTTCTAGTTTTAATGGCACAGAGCCGTTTCTTCACCCATACATGCTCCTGTTGCGCTGTTCCAGTGGGTTCATTGGTCTGGAGTTCATGGGGTTGCTCATTACCAGCCAAAAGGGCATAAAATTAGACATACTCAGGCTACAGCTGGACCACGTTTGAATTTTCTTGCTGGCTACTTGCATGGATGTGTATGGCTAGATTAGCCACAGTATTTTCTTATTATCATTGAGTCATTTACGGATATCACCTATCAGATAGCGCCAAAGCACCAACTGTTAGGGGAATTACTGTAGTAATTTTTTGTGATTTTGTCTGCATTAGTATATGCAGCCCATACCTGTTATTAAACTCCTGAACTAACTAACAAATCTGTACATAATTTCTTTTAGAAAGAAAATAAAAAATACATGTAGCCCTTTGCCTTTAAGAAACTGTAGGGATTGCGTTTAATCTTTTTTGAATTTTTTCTTTTTTTTTTGGTGAATGAACCTGTGTAACACACCGTACCTGATGAATCAGTGTATAATAATGATAAGGCAGCTGAGGCAGAGTATATTAGATAACTACACACTGCATAAAAGAACATTTAGCAACTGTAAATAGGTAATTTAGATAAAAGCTCATAATTCAGTCATGCAAAGAAATCAGATGCTGTGTAATACATCCAGTTCAGTATCAGAGCTTTACAGTAAAAAGGGACACCGTTCTACTGTACAGTACATGGACCCTGGAATATACTGACCAACTCCTCTTAGTAAGAAGACTAATAACACAGATGGGTGATGAATCAGTCAGGAAGCAGGAATTATGCAATGCTGAATTTTATTTGAAATCAATCACAGCCCCTTGTACACACAGATTACAGTGATGTAGTGTTACTGGATCTTTGCTTTTAGATCAAACACAGAAACTGAAACACATGATCATAATAATCTTTTATGTTTAATATCTGGGGCTCTCAGAGCTGAAGAGTTGATTATTATAAGTGATTTCTGATACATGCAGAAGGGTACTGGAAGGAACAGGTCAGGTCAGTTTAGCCTTCCAAACCACCTAAAACAAGAAAGAAAGTCCATTAGCTCAAGTCATCAAGCCTCCTCAACTCATCCAGAATGCAGCAGCACAGCTCGTCTTAACTTTTCCTAAGTTCAGTCATGTCACCCCACTGCTGCGCCCCCTTCACTGGCTTCCTGTAGCTGCATCAGATTTAAAACCTTGATGCCTATAAAACCAAAAACGGACCAGCCCCTCCTTCCCTGATGGCAATGGTCAAATCTCGAACTGTACCTCGAGCCCTTCGAGCTTCCAGTACAGCTCAGCTTGACCCGCCATCCTTCAAGATGTGTGAAAGATGAGCATCAAGACCGTCTCTTTTTACAGCGCTTAAGTGAGCACTAATTATTACTTATTGATACTTTCTCTCTCTAACCTATTTGTTCTAGCGAAGACACTTTCTCTGAGTCGCTCTGGATAAGAGCATCTACTAAATGCTATAAACATAAATGTATAAATATACAGTTGTATGCAAAACAACTGGTAAAAATTGGCCCATATAATAATAAGCAGACTTACGGTACATTTCTGCATGACAAGAAACACAGCGAGACACTGACGCAGTAAAAGTGGGTTTTACCTTCCTTTAGTCTAATAAATATTAACATCTGCAACTATGCTATAACTTATGCTGTTTCTATTGCCCAAATACTGATGACCCATCCTTTCATCCTATTTTGTTCACACATCTTTCAAATCTCCCTTAACTCTCCAATTATAATTGGATACTTTAATACAGTTATTGATCCAGATTTAGTAAGGATCGGTAATTTACTCAACACACAGAACTGGCCATCCACAGAGACAATAAAACAACTCCTGTCCGATTTGGGCTTGGTGATGGTTGGTATCTTGAACACCTGAGTTCTCATTTTACTCAGCAGTTCACGGCTCAAATTCCCACATAGACTTCCTCTTAATCAGAAATTCAGTTATACCATATACAGTGACCACGCTTACATGGAACGCAGATCATCCATATAATTCAGCCCTCAGATGGCACTCTAACACGTACCTACCAAAAGATCTGGATTATAGTAATAATAATATTTACATATTTTATAATAATATATCATTTATAGATTTTAAAAGAGCATGGCCATTCTTCCTGGAAATAAATGATTCCTCTGAAACTCCACCAATATTTATATGGGAAACCAGGAAAAGCTTGTACTAGAGGCAAAATAATACCATACTCTTCCTATAAAAAAGAAAGATACAGAGAATTAATTATAATTAGAACAGAAAATTAAAGAATCAGAGAATAAGATGGTAAATAACCCCACTAAGAACACTGAGTATGAATTACATGGATACAAATTACAAAAATTCATGAACAAAACCCAGTTTTTACACTTCTCATTGCACTAACCATCACCAAGAAAATGATTTTCATGAAATCAAGAAAAACATTAACTTCACTAACTGTAAAAAAAACTTCCTAACTGACTATCAATGGGAAAAAATTCTAACACTAAACCCACAGAAGTGAACTCAGCCTGGACTCACTCACTTCCCTCTTACATTAGTGACTCCTCCAACAGCTGATGATACCCTTATTAGACTGTCCTCTCTCTCTCTCACTCTCTCTCTCTCTGTCTCTCTCTCTCTCTCTCTCTCTCTCTCTCTCTCTCTCTCTCTGTCTCTCTCTCACTCACACACACACAAAATATCAAATAACTGTATTGTTAATAGTTCTGGTTTACTATCTATGTCTAAGTAGTTCTTAGTTTAAATTTCAGATTGTGTTTGTTTATCATTATTAGTAGTATTAGTATTAGTAGTAGAAGTAGTAGTAGTAGTTTTTCTTGCATTCTTGCAGAAAATAACACAAACACATTACACCAACAACATGTAGAACATTGTGCATTGACTGCACCTCTTAATGTGCCCACTAAACTAATCTACTCAAACCGTTTCCTTGGAATGCACATGTAACATTAAATACTAGAAAAGTCCTCACTTTAATCATTTTAAGTCACTTCATACAAGCTTGTGTCACTTCACTGCACATTCACCACTGCAGTGACCAGCTAAAGAGAGGAGACTCATCTAAAGAGCAGTCTGAGCCCCTAATTCAGTAAAGACGAGTGTGAGCTCTAATTCAGGACTGCACTGCTCTCTTTCACACCCAGTCAAACAACACCTGATCATCAGTGAAGGTCTGGATCAGTATTTACAGATAACAGAAAATGCATGATGGCTGAGTAAAAAAGGACAGTCAGGTACGCTGTTATAATAAAAGAATGTCAATAACAACTTTCTATGACGTGCTGTACAATGCAGAAATGAAGAAAACGCACCTTTCCTGATTCATCTGGCACAGACAAAATTGAGCTGCCTGTCACAATGAAAATCATCCCAGAGACCTACAAGAACAGTGAAAAATCAACTCAAAATCAAAAAAACACACAATATTCCAGTCATTATAAAAGCACAGGGGTGGGAAAAGATGGTAATGGATATATACCACTGTAATAAATGCAAATATAAATCATAAATATTCTATTAAAAAGACTATGCTAGGAGCATTTCTCAGTGAGATGAGCATGTAGCCACCAGTACAGTGTGAGGAAACATTTGAGAAATGTTTAGAAGAACTGTCATCTCATTACCGTTGTTGTAGATCTTCAGACACTTTCCGGAGCCGTTCGGCTCACCTGGGCTCCAGTTAGTGTGGTCAAAATCAGAGAAATCAGTCCAAAACCAGATACCGGAATCCTGAAGAAGAGCAATCTGAAATGAGTATCCACTGAACCAGAGAGAAGAGACCAAGCAGGAGGAACAGTGTGACAGATTCAGCACCAACTCAAACACACTTACTCCGTCAGTGTGGCCTCCGAGCCACACTCCATCAGCCTGAGTGTGAATCAGACTCATAATGAAATTGTTTTCATTCTTATTGTGCACTGAAGCCAGATGAGCGTCGAACTGCTTACAGGTGCTCTACAGATAGAATTGACAGAGAGACAAACATTTCACTGAGATGTACATTTACTTCATTCTGACCTGTTTAGACGTCTCCTTTTAAATATTGGAGTTTCTGCTCCAAACCTTGCTCTTCTGTCACGCAGCAGACTCAAACGTGGACTCCATATCATGTGTCTGCTGAACTTCCTCGTTCCACCAAATCACCTGAATGCTGATACAATGCACCAGTTTCTGGGGCATTTGACTAGTTTAGTTTAGTGTAACACCCTTAGGGCACTATTAGGTGTTTTTTTCCCTGTTTTTGTCAGTTCCTCTTTCAGCTGTTGTAACTCTCGTAATTATATGAGACAGCCACATGTTATATGTTGTTTTATTTTCAGAAGACATGTGGCTTCTCAAATATGTAATCACCTGAGTTGTAAATGCCCACAGAGGTTTGATATTTTTATGAAACTGGACATGTTTTGATCAAAATTTTACCAAGCGCCTGTTTTTTTTTTATTTTACTTATTTTTGACTGTATCTCTTCAAAACATCACTGCACTGCTTAGATGTCAATGAGAAAGTTTTAGGATAAAGTGTCTATGAGCTGAAAATATAAGAATTTTGTTGATTGTTCATTACATGGCTTATTACTGTGAAATAGTATGTGATTAGCATCAGGCGGACTTATTTTTCTTGATATTCTCACCTAAAGGATCCATGCAGATTGCTAAAACTGCATGTGACAGACTGACACAGCAGGTCAAGCCTTTGGGTTTTTTGTTCAGGGCCAATATGGCTAATATTCCAGCTAATAAAACACTGTTTTAGTACACTGGGTGTTTATTATCAGCTGCTTATAATAACAATGACTCCTATAATAAAGAATCCTTCCAGAAATGATCAGATAAACACTGCTTTATCTAGAAAACACACAGTAAAGAGTCTGTACCGTAATATAAACCTGAAATCTGGATCAGTCCAGCGGTGTTGGACGGACGCCAAAAGACTCTGAAGGTGCGCGCGCAGCAGGAAAACTGACGACATGCGCGCAGCTTCAGAGCGGCTGATCGGCGGAGGCGCTGAGAGGCGCTGAAGAGGCGTTTTCGGTCGATAATACTGACTCATCTAATCAAATATTAGATTTGAAACACCATGTAAATATTTCACAAGCCCTATAGTAAATAATAGTAGTGGAAACAAAGCGAAATGCAGAGTTTATCAGCACAGAAATTGAAATTTACTAGAGAAATAAAACATAAACTTTGAAGGAGCGTCTATTTTTACTGTTTTTCCACGGCGGATTACTCACAGATGCTTCATCGGACCGCGATGGGCCGCTATTTTTTAGAAGCGGTAGACGCCGCAGTTTCTAAGGATATGCATAGTGAACTGCTGCGGTAAAGCAGTCCTGAGGTATAAAGCTCAGAAGACAAGGTGTGATTTGTGATGCAAAACACGTCATGAGGGTCTGCAGGGTTAAAAACCTGGGCTTTAGAGTAGATGACTTGCAAGGTAGTGTTTCTCTTTGTAGAGCTGTTGAGTATTATTGTTTGCCATTTTGTGTGTCGGACTCTGAGTCAGCATTTACTGACTTTGTCTTTTGGTTTTGGTTGCCTTGGTAATGTTAGTGCTCTTTTGTCTGACAAAAACTGACTACAATTCTTGTCAAATCCTTTTTTATTAAAGCCTCATCAGTTTTTACCGAGAGCGTCTGACTAGGGCTGTCGCGTTACATCTTCAGAATGTCACACTGAAAAGAAAATACTAAATGAACAACTTTATAACATTACATTCTTACAACTAAAACACTGTACCTGTTTAAATATAAATTAAAAAAATGAAGTCAACTCAATCTGATTTAAGTATCAAAACCTTAGAAAGTAGAACAGTCCAACTTAGAATATTTCCACAAAGCACTGTGGTTTAGGCTGTAAACTTGTAGGAACAGCACTGAATAAACGCACCTCAGCCTGCTCCCACGTGTTTTGGATGGTGAAGAATTTGAACTGGCGTGATCCAAATGATGACCATCCAGAGGCTCCGACAACAGGTTGATTATCTCCTGCAGAGCCTGCAACAACAACACATTGTGAGAGTTTGAATATCTACAGAGATGACAAACTTGGACATAAACAACAAACACTACACTTGAACTTTATCTTGAAATTGTGGTTCAGACCTTGTGGTTCAGACCTACAGAGACACTGAACAGTTTAGAAAAACCCTGGACATTGAAATGGCTCTTCTCATTAAAGGCCTCTACATCACTGGGTTGTTTTCATGATACACAATTTCTAAGCCTCAATAGCCACATTTACATGCAGCCTATTAATTGGTGAATAATCCAACTAATAGCTCAATCGGAATAGAATACATCCATGTAAACACCTCAGTCGGAACAGACTAGTCTGATTGAGGCCATTCGGAATACAGTTTCTATCCGACTGAATGAGGTGGGTAATCCTGTAAATAATCCGTTAAATAGAAGAATAATATCCATGTAAATGCCTGTATCTGATTACATTCCCTATCGGAAAGTTTAAGTCCGTTCTGATCATGTTCGTCGCGTCATAGTGAAAGTTTATACCGTTCAACATGGTGGAGCAGAAACTGGTCTGCAGAGGAGACGAAGTTTATGCTCTGATCTTTAAAAGACAGCGGTGGGACGGACGTCCAGCTTATGTGTCTCAGAACACGACGTCTTCCTCTCACCACTTCCTTTATAAGTATATGTGAAGGATGTTTTTCTGAATCTGACATCAACTGGAAACTCATCTCACTCGGACTGGACCTCACGTGATGTTCGCTGTCATGGTAACATTTACACTAAGTGGTACTCCACGCATACGCGTCATTTTGCATCGGATTACTTGTAGCGCACATATAAACGAAGATTTTCATCAGATTGTTGAGTAGAGTGAGAATAAACACCTCAGTCTGAATCTGTAATCATAATACATTCAATTCAAAAATGTTTGCATGTAAACATAGCCAGTGATTCCTTCTTTGCTGATATGTAGAACGTTTTACAACGCAGCAGCAGACAGTGCCCAAAAAGCAGCTGGATGTGAGAAAATGATGGTGAAACATTAAAAAACTCTCTCAGAATATCAAAGGACTGCAAAAAAGAAGGAAAAATTAAATGAACAGGCAGTTAAAACGGGCTACACGGTGATTGTTCTGAAACTTACCAAGAGATGGAGGGAGCTGGGCACCACTTTTAACATCACCATAAGCCCCTGAAATCAGTGAACAAAAATTTTACACATTGGCATATATTCAGTACACTCTATAGGCAAAAGCCGGTGAACGCTCTCCTAATTATTGAGTTCAGGTGTTTCAGCCAAACCCATTGCTAACAGGTGTATACAAATAAACACATAGCCATTCAGTCTCCACAGACAAACACTGTCATAGGATGACACTTTTGCTTAGGGTCAGTTCTTGAAATGCCTGACCTGGTAGATCTGCCACAGTCAACTGTGAGTGCTAATATCATGAATTGGTAGCATTTCAGCCCAATAACTTCTCAGGGTGAAGGGTGATATTAAAGCTACAGCACAAAGACATTTTACACAGTTATCTGCTTCCAGCTTTGTGTCAGCAGTTTGGGGAAGAGCCTTTCCTGTTCCAGCATGACTGAGTCCCTGTGCACAAAGCAGCTCCATAAAGACATGGAGTGACCAGTTTGGTGTGGACGAACTCCAGTGGCCTGCACAGAGCCCTGACCTGTCAAATGCTCTTGTGATGAATGTTAAAACATTGCTGCCCATACAGTGTAGCTTATACTGTCTCTGAACACAATGAATTCAAATCATACATTAAACAAATACCACATACTACATTTAATGTAGCTGTTTCTGTGACTTATCCAATCTGAATAGGACTTTGTAGAAAATCTACTGAACTAACACTGTTTTATTGGAACGATCTTTCATGAAAATCTGAGAAGAATCAATTTAACTCAAGTCCTAACTTTCATTGTTTAAGTCACTTCATACAAGCCTGTGTCACTTCATTACACACATACACCACTGTAGTGACCAGCTAAAGAGAGCAGACTCATCTAAAGATCAATCTGAGCCCCTAATTCAGTAAAGAGGAGTGTGAACTCTTTCACACCCACTCAAATGTCACCTGATCATCTCTAAAGGTCTGGATCAATATTTGAAGATGAAAAAAAAACATATTTCTGAAAAACACAATCTTCCAGGTCCACTGTTAAAAAACATAAACTCACCTTTCGTGATCAGTCGAGCACAGACAAAAGGAATTTTACTGTTGCAGTTAAGATCATCCCAGCCACCTGCAAGAACAGTGCACAGATTTCTATAAAATACAGTCATGATGAAAAAACACACAATATTCCAGTCATTATAAAAGCACAGGGGTGGAAAACATGGTAATGGATATAAACCACTGTCATAAAGGCAAATATAGACCATAAATATTATATCAAAAAGACTATGCATGGAACATTTAATGTAGCCACCAGTACAGTGTGTGGAACAAAGTTAGAGAAGAATTTTAATCTCGTTAACTTTGAAGTTGTTCTGCAGACAGTGTCCAGAGCCATCTGGCTGGCCTGGGGTCCAGGGAGAGAAGTCAAAAGGAGACTCATCTGTCCAGTACCAGCGTTTGGGAACCTGAAGAACAGCAATCTGAAATGAGTATCCACTGTCCCCGAGAGAGGAGACTGAGCACACAGAACACTGGGAGAGATTCAGCACTAACTCAAACACACTTACTATGTGACTGTTGTAGCCACCGAGCCACGAGGGACGATTATAACCAGCCTGATTGTAAATCAGACGCTTAATGAAAGAGTCTTCATTCTCACTGTGCACTGAAGCCAGATGAGCGCCGTACTCCTCACAGGTGCTCTACAGGAGGAATTAATAGGGACAGACATTTCACCAGGATGGACTTTTACTTTAACCCAACCTGTTTGGACGTCTCCTTTTAGATGTTGGAGTTTCTACTCCAAATCTTGCTCTTCAGTATTTCACACTGGATGAGACACTAATGAACACTTTATAACATTATATTCTTACAACTAGAACATCGAACACTTTTAAAAATAAAAATTAAAGCATAAAATCAACTCAAACTGCTTTACTGATCAAATGTTGGAAGGTAGAACAGTCCACCTTAAGGATACTTTTTACAAAATATGGTGGTTTAGACTGAACACCTGTAGGAACAGCATTGAATAAACACACCTCAGCCTCCTCCCAGGTTTTTTCGATGGCAAAGAACATGAACTGGCGTGGTCCATATGATGTCCATCCAGAGGCTTTGAGAACAGGTTGTTTATCTCCCACAGAGCCTGCATCAACAACAGATTGTTAGAGTTGATACATCTAAGAAGATGTCAAGTTTGGCCAAAAACAACAAAACTACACTTTTACATTATCTTGGAATTTCTAAGATGGTGGTTCAAACCTATAGGGACAATGAACAGTTCAGAAAAACCTTGGACATTTAAATGGCTCTTATCATTGAAATCGTCTAGATCGTTGGGTTGTTTTCATGGTACAGGTGCAGGTCAACTGATAATGCTCAAATACAAAAACAATATTTGTTTCAGTAAAAGCACAAATCGTAATTCTGCTAATATCTAAGTCTCATTTTCTTCTGCTTTGCTGATATATTTAACGTTTTAGAGCACAACAGTGGACAGTGCCCAAAAAGCAGCTGGATGTGAGTCAAAAAACTCTTCTAGAATATCAAATAAAGCTTAAAAGCAAGAAAAATAAAATAAACCTGCAGTGGAAACAGGCTACACAGCCATTACCCTTAAATTTACCAAGAGATGGAGCGAGCTGGGCATCACTTGTACCAGCTGTATGAGCCCCTGAAAACAATGAACAAATCTATGAGACCTCTGCATATATTCTATAAACCATACACTCTATAGGCAAAAGCCTGGGGACCCTCTCTAATTATTGAGTTCAGGTGTTTCAGCCACACCCATTGCTAACAGGTGTATACAAATAAACACATAGCCATTCAGTCTCCACAGACAAACACTGTCATAGGATGACACTTTTGCTTAGGGTCAGTTCTTGAAATGCCTGACCTGGTAGATCTGCCACAGTCAACTGTGAGTGCTAATATCATGAATCGGTAGGATTTCAGCCCAATAACTTCTCAGCCACCAAGCAGTAGAACACGCCAACCCACAGAATGAAGACTCTGAGTGCCGACACAAGCAGCACATTAGAAAAGGCTTATCTTCTGTAATTGTTCACTAAAGAGCTCAGACTGCCTCTGGGTTAACATCAGCACAAGAACTGAGCATCAGGAGCTTCATGGAGTGGGTTTCAGTGTTTGGGCTCTCAGTTCCAGTGAAGGGTGATGTTAAAGCTACAGCACAAAGACATTTTACACAGTTATCTGCTTCCAGCTTTGTGTCAGCAGTTTGGGGAAGAGCCTTTCCTGTTCCAGCATGACTGAGTCCCTGTGCACAAAGCAGCTCCATAAAGACATGGAGTGACCAGTTTGGTGTGGACGAACTCCAGTGGCCTGCACAGAGCCCTGACCTGTCAAATGCTCTTGTGATGAATGTTAAAACATTGCTGCCCATACAGTGTAGCTTATACTGTCTCTGAACACAATGAATTCAAATCATACATTAAACAAATACCACATACTACATTTAATGTAGCTGTTTCTGTGACTTATCCAATCTGAATAGGACTTTGTAGAAAATCTACTGAACTAACACTGTTTTATTGGAACGATCTTTCATGAAAATCTGAGAAGAATCAATTTAACTCAAGTCCTAACTTTCATTGTTTAAGTCACTTCATACAAGCCTGTGTCACTTCATTACACACATACACCACTGTAGTGACCAGCTAAAGAGAGGAGACTCATCTAAAGAACAATCTGAGCCCCTAATTCAGTAAAGAGGAGTGTGAACTCTTTCACACCCACTCAAATGTCACCTGATCATCTCTAAAGGTCTGGATCAATATTTGGAGATAAAAAAAAAACATATCATTTCTGAAAAACACAAATCTTCCAGGTCCACTGTTAAAAAACATAAACTCACCTTTCGTGATCCGTCGAGCACAGACAAAAGGAATTTTACTGTTGCAGTTAAGATCATCCCAGCCACCTGCAAGAACAGTGCACAGATTTCTATAAAATACAGTCATGATGAAAAAACACACAATATTCCAGTCATTATAAAAGCACAGGGGTGGAAAACATGGTAATGGATATAAACCGCTATCATAAAGGCAAATATAGACCATAAATATTATATCAAAAAGACTATGCATGGAACATTTAATGTAGCCACCAGTACAGTGTGTGGAACAAAGTTAGAGAAGAATTTTAATCTCGTTACCTTTGAAGTTGGTCTGCAGACAGTGTCCAGAGCCATCTGGCTGGCCTGGGGTCCAGGGAGAGAAGTCAAAAGCAGACTCATCTGTCCAGTACCAGCGTTGTGGAACCTGAAGAACAGCAATCTGAAATGAGTATCCACTGTCCCCGAGAGAGGAGACTGAGCACACAGAACACTGGGAGAGATTCAGCACTAACTCAAACACACTTACCATGTGACTGTTGTAGCCACCGAGCCACGAGGGACGATTATAACCAGCCTGATTGTAAATCAGACGCTTAATGAAAGAGTCTTCATTCTCACTGTGCACTGAAGCCAGATGAGCGCCGTACTCCTCACAGGTGCTCTACAGGAGGAATTAATAGGGACAGACATTTCACCAGGATGGACTTTTACTTTAACCCAACCTGTCTGGATGTCTCCTTTTAGATGTTGGAGTTTCTACTCCAAATCTTGCTCTTCAGTATTTCACACTGGATGAGACACTAATGAACACTTTATAACATTATATTCTTACAACTAGAACATCAAACACTTTTAAAAATAAAATTAAAGCATAAAATCAACTCAAACTGCTTTACTGATCAAATGTTGGAAGGTAGAACTGTCCACCTTAAGGATACTTTTTACAAAATATGGTGGTTTAGACTGAACACCTGTAGGAACAGCATTGAATAAACACACCTCAGCCTCCTCCCAGGTTTTTTCGATGGCAAAGAACCTGAACTGGCGTGGTCCATATGATGTCCATGCAGATTTAGCGTCAACTGCCTGTTTTGTTTCCATAGTGCCTGCATCAACAACAGATTGTTAGAGTTGATACGTCTAAGAAGCTGTCAAGTTTGGCCAAAAACAACAAAACTACACTTTTACATTATCTTGGAATTTCTAAGATGGTGGTTCAAACCTCTAGGGACAATGAACAGTTCAGAAAAACCTTGGACATTTAAATGGCTCTTATCATTGAAATCGTCTAGATCGTTGGGTTGTTTTCATGGTACAGGTGCAGGTCAACTGATAATGCTCAAATACAAAAACAATATTTGTTTCAGTAAAAGCACAAATCGTAATTCTGCTAATATCTAAGTCTCATTTTCTTCTGCTTTGCTGATATATTTAACGTTTTAGAGCACAACAGTGGATGGTGCCCAAAAAGCAGCTGGATGTGAGTCAAAAAACTCTTCTAGAATATCAAATAAAGCTTAAAAGCAAGAAAAATAAAATAAACCTGCAGTGGAAACAGGCTACACAGCCATTATCCTTAAACTTACCAAGAGATGGAGGGAGCTGGGCATCACTTGTACCAGCTGTATGAGCCCCTGAAAACAATGAACAAATCTATGAGACCTCTGCATATATTCTATAAACCATACACTCTATAGGCAAACGTCTGGGGACCCTCTCTAATTATTGAGTTCAGGTGTTTCAGCCACACCCATTGCTAACAGGTATATTTAATCAAGCTCATACCATGCAGTCTTCATAGACAAACACTGGCAGTAGAAGAGGTGGTACTGAAGAGCTCAGTGACCTTCAGCATGGCACTGTCACAGGATGACACTTTTGCTTAGGGTCAGTTCTTGAAATGCCTGACCTAGTAGATCTGCCACAGTCAACTGTGAGTGCTAATATCATGAATCGGTAGGATTTCAGCCCAATAACTTCTCAGGGTGAAGGGTGATGTTAAAGCTACAGCACAAAGACATTTTACACAGTCATCTGCTTCCAGCTTTATGTCAGCAGTTGGGGGAAGAGCCATTCCTGTTCCAGCATGACTGAGTCCCTGTGCACAAAGCAGCTCCATAAAGACATGGAGTGACCAGTTTGGCACAGAGCCCTGACCTGTCAAATGCTCTTGTGATGAATGTTAAAACATTGCTGCCCATACAGTGTAGCTTATACTGTCTCTGAACACAATGAATTCAAATCATACATTAAACAAATACCACATACTACATTTAATGTAGCTGTTTCTGTGACTTATCCAATCTGAATAGGAAAATAGGAAAATCTACTGAACTAGCACTGTTTTATTGGAATGATGTTTTATGAAAATCTGAGAAGAATCAATTTAACTCAAGTCCTAACTTTCATTGTTTAAGTCACTTCATACAAGCCTGTGTCACTTCATTACACACACACTACTGTAGTGACCAGCTAAAGAGAGGAGACTCATCTAAAGAACAATCTGAGCCCCTAATTCAGTAAAGAGGAGTGTGAACTCTTTCACACCCACTCAAATGTCAGCTGATCATCTCTAAAGGTCTGGATCAATATTTGAAGATAAAAAACATATCATTTCTGAAAAACACAATCTTCCAGGTCCACTGTTAAAAAACATTAAACTCACCTGTCATGACCAGTCGAGCACAGACAAAAGGAATTTTACTGTTGCAGTCAAGATCATCCCAGCCACCTGCAAGAACAGTGCACAGATTTCTATAAAATACAGTCATGATGAAAAAACACACAATATTCCAGTCATTATAAAAGCACAGGGGTGGAAAACATGGTAATGGATATAAACCACTATCATAAAGGCAAATATAGACCAGAAGTATTATATCAAAAAGACTATGCATGGAACATTTCATGTAGCCACCAGTAGAGTGTGTGGAACAAAGTTAGATAGGAACTCTAATCTCGCTACGTTTGAAGTTGGTCTGCAGACAGTGTCCAGAGCCTTCTGGCTGGCCTGGGGTCCAGGGAGAGAAGACAAAAGGAGACTCATCTGTCCAGTACCAGCGTTTGGGAACCTGAAGAACAGCAATCTGAAATGAGTATCCACTGTCCCCGAGAGAGGAGACTGAGCACACAGAACACTGGGAGAGATTCAGCACTAACTCAAACACACTTACCATGTGACTGTTGTAGCCACCGAGCCACGAGGGACGATTATAACCAGCCTGATTGTAAATCAGACGCCTAATGAAATAGTCTTCATTCTCATTGTGCACTGAAGCCAGATGAGCGCCGTACTCCTCACAGGTGCTCTACAGGAGGAATTAGTAGAGACAAACATTTCACCAGGATGGACTTTTACTTTAACACAACCTGTTTGGACGTCTCCTTTTAGATGTTGGAGTTTCTACTCCAAATCTTGCTCTTCAGTATTTCACACTGGATGAGACACTAATGAACACTTTATAACATTATATTCTTACAACTAGAACATCAAACACTTTTAAAAATAAAAATTAAAGCATAAAATCAACTCAAACTGCTTTACTGATCAAATGTTGGAAGGTAGAACAGTCCACCTTAAGGATATTTTTTACAAAATATGGTGGTTTAGACTGAACACCTGTAGGAACAGCATTGAATAAACACACCTCAGCCTCCTCCCAGGTTTTTTCGATGGCAAAGAACATGAATTGGCGTGGTCCATATGATGTCCATCCAGAGGCTTTGAGAACAGGTTGTTTATCTCCCGCAGTGCCTGCATCAACAACAGATTGTGAGAGTTTGAATATCTAAAAAGATGCCAAATTTGGCCAAAACAAGCCAAAACAACAAAAACTACATTTTACATTATCTTGGAATATCTAAGATGGTGGTTCAAACTTACAGGGACAATGAACAGTTCAGAGATTAACGTGGCTTTTCTCATTGAAAGCTTCTACATTGATAGTTCATTTTATGGTACAGGTGTTTGTCAACTGAAAACTCTCAAAGATAAAAACAATATTTGTTTCTGAAAAAGCACAAATCATGTTCTGCGTATTTCCAAGTCTCATTTTCTTCTGTTTTCCTAATATATTTAATATTTTAGAGCACAACAGTGGACAGTGCCCAAAAGGCAGCTGGATGGGAGTTCAAAGAACTCTTCTAGAATATCAAAAAAAGCTTAAAAGCAAGAAAAATAAAATAAACCTGCAGTGGAAACAGGCTACATAGCTGTTACCCTTAAACTTACCAAGAGATGGAGGAAGGTTGAGATCATCTCCAACAGCAACATCAGCACCTGAAATCAGTAAATAAATATGTAACACTTCAGCATACTGTTTTTTTTTCCGCAGTGTCTGCATCAACAGCAGTTTATGAGCGTTTGAATACCTACAGAGACGCCAAATCCAGACACACACAATTTCAAAGTCTCAATGATTCCTTCTTTGCTGATATGTTGAAAGTTTTGTAGCAGCAGACAGTGCCCAAAAGGCAGCTGAATGTGAGCAAATGATCATCTCTAACAGCAACATCAGCTTCCGAAATCAATGAATATATATTTAGCACCTTGGTGTACTGTTTTTTTTGCACAGTGTCTGCATCAACAATAGATTGTGAGAGTTTAAATATGTAAAAATATGACAAAACAACCCTTTTACATTAATATCATATTACATTTCTATCATGGTGTGTAAAACCTAAAGAGGCATTGAACAGTTTAAAAAAAAGCCCTGAACATTAACATGGCTCTTCTCATTAAAGGTTTCTAGATCAACAGGTCATTTTTATGGTACAGATGTATTTCAATTTCAAACTGGAAATACATCCAAGAAACACACAAAAGACCTACAAAGCTTTATTCATTCCTTCAAGTCTCTTCTGCTTCACTGTTCTATCAGGGATTGCACAATTGTGACCAAATTTGTTCAGTTAGTCGCCAAGAAAAGTTCCCAAACATAAAATAACTGAAAGTCCAAAACTAGATGCTAAAATATTGCTTGACTCCCTGAAAATAAATGGTCTCAAACAGTACAGTTGTTGTTATCAGCCTCTGGTGGCTTATCTTGAAAACATCTCCCTTCCTTTGTGAAGGTGCTGATTTGTCTACTAAAGTCTTTACAAAAGAAAAACTCAGCAGTTGTCTAAAAATGTTGATAATTATAAATGTCAGGGCCTCTTATGATGCAACACATTATGGAGACGACACTGTAAGTCATCCAAAGACCAAATTTGGAGAGTAGGTTCAGTATGTGACCCAATACACAGGCAAATGAAATTATCCAAACTGGCCTAATGGTACCACTATACAATCATACATTCAGACCATTTCTCCTGAACCATCTCTCCTCTCATAAGATCTACAGTCAAATTTCTTTTTTCCACAGTATCCTTTGTTTATTCTACATAAGTGCCTCACTGGGATTAGTTATTTATTTCCTGCCACAAAAACTTTAGATGATTGGGAAAATACATGAAACCTTATTTTTCAAACAAGTGAATTTTTTAAATGTCAATTTTCAAGATTTCAAAACCTTCACAGCAGTCTAAAGATCAAGAATCATCACAAAACTTGGATGTTTATAAACAGTAGGGCCACCATGTGTTAATTAGTCCTTCTGAAGTGGAGCTAAGTTTGCATATGTGGCTGTTCTCTCTATATAAAAGAGAATTTGACACAGAAACAAAATGATCTCAATAAAAAATTTAAATAATAACAATTGAAAGTTGTGAACTAGTTGCTAAAATGATGCTGGTTGCCCCTATAAATAAATGATCTCACAAAGTGCAGTCTTCCTATGGGCTGCTAGAGGCTTACCATGAAACCACCTCTCATCTGGTGTGAAGGTGCTGGGTTTGAATCCTGTCTGAGCTGTCATTGCAAACTTAAGTCACTAATTGTGACTAAATTTGGAACATAGGTCCCGTCTGAGCTGTTGGTGCATGCAAACAATTTAAGGCTTGTATCCTAATATCTTTGGAGGAGTTGAAACAATAATTAACAACAAATGTGAATTTTTATAAACATGAGTGCCTCATTGCGCTGATGGTGCTTGGACCCCGATGATTGCGCCTTGTGACTATACTAACTTTTTGTGCTTTTTTGCTTTTAAAAAGATATCTTTAGTGTGTTTAAAGTAAAGTTGAAATATTTAGATTTATAATATAAAAATATTTTAAAATGATGTCCCACATTTTCATGTCAATTACAAAACAAAAAGGCTGTATTCAAAACAGCACACTACTATGCAACATACTGTATATTGCACTAGTATATACTGATACTGCATACTACTCTTGGTAATAGTACACAGTACAGTATCCAGTATAAGACAAAATCCATGTGCCGCACTACAGAAAGGGGGCGCAACTAGACGGCCAACATCTGGGACTGAGCCAATCAGAACCATCTCAAAACCTGGTATTGATCTTTATCAACACATGTGAATATATTTTAGTGAAGAGGCATGCCTGCTGAGTTTTAAAATGATACCAATACAGAATGGAGGGTGCTGTTTGGAGTAAACCATGTGGTTACATCAGTGGTTATGTCCTCCTGAAATGACTGTGTTGCATTATGGAATGCCGTATATAAACACAGAACATAACCCAAACCACGTACTGTAAAATTTTGCCAGAGTAGTACATCACCGGGTATCTTTGTAATACTGAGAAAATTCATGTTGGTCACATACTGCATTCTAGCTACTTTGTTTTGGGCACAATCAGTACACGAGCAGTATGTAGTAGACCATTTCCAACAAAAACCAAAGATTTTAATCTGTAATTTTAGCCACGCCCCTGCATTTTACAGCAGGAAGTGAGGCTGCATCCCTGTCCCTCATGGCCACATGGTGAGCCATGGTTAGATCCCATTATTTTAAAGTAAATGTGTCCAAAACTCTGAAAGTCAGTGTGGAACATTAAGCATCACCATATTTTCTGCAGTTCAGCACTTTTTAGTGTTTTAATGTAAAATATGATGATTTTCTGTGTGAACAGCTGTTCAGAGCTGTGTTTGCTGTTCATACTGGCTGCGTTTTTGAGCTCAAAATGAGCTAAAATTGTCACCAAAACAGTCACTACTGACATATTTGGCAAGGTAGAGTTATGATTGTTTTGGTCATGATGAAATGTAATTTTAATCAAATGAACGTAATTAGTTAAATGTCCAAAATATGTTTGATTCTGACTTTGAGCCAGTTCAGTAGAATAATCCACTGATGTTCATCTTAAAAAGGGGGGAAAGATACAAAACACACAGTATTGTTCCTGCATTATTTAATTGACAAAAATAAGTATTTCACACCAGTGTGTCAATACTTATGTGTCAGTGTAGATTAATCTCCTAATCTGAGTGCTGGAGTTGTTCCTGATTTCTCGCAGAATCACACACTATTTTATACACTGTCCTTAATCCGTAATGATGTGACTGCATATCAGTGAAATGGATGTGTTTTCTCACCAGCTAGCTGGACACTGAGGAGACACATGACCCCAAGGAGCAAGGAGGAGCACCGGATCGCCATGACGGCAGAGACTGCAGAGAAATTTCAGACACAGTAGATCAGTGACAGAGTTTAATGTATCAGAGACTCTACGTTCACAATGTACACAAACAGAGAGTTTAACTCATTAAGTCTTTTGTCAGAGTAAATGTAGCTGTTAGATGTTGAGCTTCATTTGAAATCATTTTAAAATACAAATATACAGCAGAAGCTGGTCACTGAGGGAAGGTTTGAAACGCTCTACCTTTAGATCTCCAGCCAGTCTCCTGTGAAATTTTAACAGAGCTCTGAGAGAAGAAGTTGATGGAGAAATTGTGGAGATACTTTTATAGTTTGTTGGAGGCGTGGCATAACTACTAGTCATAAGAATTTCTAGGGAAGTTCATCTACATGTTTTTCTAGAGAATTGCAGGGATGATGGTGCTGGATATCTGATGTGCTGTTTGCTGTTGCTCAGAGACTCACAATTAGACTAAAATACAGACGTACGCTTTTATGCTTATTCATTTTCAAAATGAATCCGTCATCCACACAACTTAGAAAGTTAGCTAGCTACCTTAGCAAGTGACCTTCAAGCTCTGTGTGGTTTAAATTGTGCCTTATCAAACCATGTGAACTTCACCCAGCTGAAGGTCTTTTCTCCAAACCCTCACTGTCTACAGTTCTGTATAAAAGCAGATATTTCATTATTGTGTAAACTGTCATGGATTGAGGGAAGAGACTGAGAGCTGTAGTTTCCACTGTGTACTATCAGAGACAGTCATGTTTGCCATTCGTGATGAAGACCAGCCTGATTGGCTAAACTCAATGCGGTTGCTTCATTCATTTACATAATGTCCACAACCGCCTAAAGCTAATGAACGTGTTGCAAAGAACTACAAGAGCATCACAGTCCACTTCTGTGTGTGTGTTGAGCAAAGATTTTTTTTTTTCTTTTGCTTGTCATACATTTACATCCCATCTCCCTGAGTCACTTTGGCTTCATACTAAGGTTTGATTTGATCCATGGCTGCTAAAGGGCTCAGAAAAAGTATTTGCTCCTTCTGATTTTCTCAGTTATTGCATATTTATATATATAATATTAGGCAAAGAGAACCCTTTCAAACACAAAAATATGTTTTTTTAATCATTTCAGTTATTTACAAAGCAAAATGATCCAACATGTGAATCACCCATGGGAAATAGATGCAGTAAAACTGAACAAAAAAAGTCTTATTTTGAAAAATAGTATGTAATATCTCGTGAGCTAGCTTGAAGAACAAAGTTTAGTTTAAGATTTGTTCTCGATGACCCCAGATGTCACATGGAATGGTGAAACTTTATAGCCAGCACACTTGATTTAATATAATAAAGCACTGTTTAGCCCAAACAAGTGTACAAATAATACTCAACTTCCATGAGGAGAGGTTTGGAAATGGTTAAACAAACACATTAATATACATAAAAACACTACTTATTGCATTAATAAATATTAGTATATGAATAATATTGTGTTTAATCTAACATTAGTGTTTGGTAAAAGCATATTGAAAACATGCTGACCATAATTACCAGTTAACAAGATGTTCTTGTCCTCTGGTGGATGATCTTGTGGATGGGTTCTTCTGCTGAGGTGGTGGAGAACTCTGTGAATATCTTCCCAAGCAGACAGTGATGCTGGACTGCTGGATCACCTCTTTATATACAGGAGGAGATGAAGTGGAGAGATCGTATGAGAGAGTCTGGTTCAATCGGCAAAGCTGGAAGAAGGAGTGAACTGAGGTTGTGTTTCAGACACTGTCCTCCAACAGTCTGCCCACAGCGCCCACTAGTGGAGTAATTAGCGTACTAGTCAACTGTGCATCCCCTGGTATGTGTTCAGTCAGGAATTTTGATGTTCCACCACGTTAATGTAAATTCTGTCATCTTAATCCAGATTTTCTCACTATCAAAGCAGCTGATCTGACTGTTTGCTGTCATAACTACATATAGAGATCAGGGGACAGAGCATGTTTACACTCACCCTAATCAAATGGAACTTCAGCGTCCAAATTAATCCTACCGAATTAGATATTATGACCAAGTGTTTAGAGGGTACTTTTCAATCTACTCTAGATAATGTGGCTCCATTAAAAAGTTAAATGATGCAGAAAAAGCTGCATCATGGTACAGGGATCATACTCAAGCTTTAAAACAGACTGTCAGACAACTAGAGCAAAAATAGTGCCTGACTAAACTAGAAGTGTTCCAGTCTGCCTGGAGGGACAGCCTTACTGCAGCAAGCTCAGCCTATCTCTCCTCTCTCATAGAAAACAAGAATAATCCTAGATTATTATTTAGCACAATTTATAAATAACTAAGAACCAAACAGTTACTGAACCCCAGATGCCATCAGCCTATAGCAGCAATGATTTTATGAATTTCTTTAGTGATAAAATTGAAAAAAAATAGACAGAAAATTCAGAATACACAATTAAACTCTACAAATCTGCTGCCTTATAATGCCAGATCCTGAGAATATTGTAATCACTGCAGAGAGGCTGGAATCGTTTACCTTACCTCAGCAAAATGAACTAGTTAAAATTGTTTCCTCCGCAAAATCTTCTACTTGTATGTTAGATCCGATTCCTACAGGTTTACTCAAAGAAATGTTGCCAAAAAATAACCAAACCTATTCTGTCAATAATAAATTCTTCTCTTACCCTTGGATACATCCCAAAAACTCTTAAACTAGCAGTATTTAGACTCTGATTAAGAGAGCTAACCTCGATCCCTGTGAACTATCAAATTATAGACCTATCTCAAATCTCCCCTTTATATCTAAGATCTTGGAAAGGTTGTAGCAAAACAATTAAGTTCCTATTTGTATAGGAATCATATACATGAAAAAATTCAGTCTGGTTTTAGACCACATCATAATACAGAGACAGCACTAATAAGAATTTTTATTCTTTGACCAAGGAAATGTGTCTTTGCTAGTCCTCCTCGATCTTAGTGCAGCATTTGACACGAGTGGTGTCTATGTTACTAGATAGACTAGAAAACCCTGTAGGAACCAGGAAAGAGCTGTTCCTGTTACCCAGTTTGTTAATGTAAACAGTGAAACATCTGTCCTCGAAGAGGTGTTTATTACTTCAAGGCTAGATTACTGTAATGCCCTGCTGGCTGGATGTTAATGTGGTACAACAATGTGCAAACCTCACCTGCATGAACTGACCCTCCTGCTGCTGCTGCATAAACTCAAACTATCTAATTAACCCAAAGGCCAGCAAATACTGTCCCTTACAAACAGAGATTTCTCCAGATTCTCTGAATCTTTCAATGTTATTATGTACTGTATATTATGAAAAGCAAAAGTTTACAGCTTGAACTTGACACAGCTTGAAGAAAATAATGTGTGTTATTATATTTTACCACTACACACTACCACTGTTTCAGGTCTTGTTAAGGTAACAATTCTTACAGCTGACCTGTGTTCATTGGTATGCATGCATGAACTGATTCCACCAGGAATCATTTGGAAACAATTACACACCAAAACTGATCATGGTGGTAGATCTCTAGGACCAGGACTGGACACCAGGTTGTCCTGTCCCTGCTGTGGATCTTTAAGGGTAGAGGTGTTTTTGAGTGGGGTCATCTCTACAGACCCACTAAAACTGACCTTCCTCAACATCAGCACTTCCCTCTTGTGGATCTGTGTATGGTATAAGTGTGAATGTATGTATATCACTGGCTTAAAATCTCTTTAGAATAAAATCTCTTTAGATTTGGGATTATTAATGTCTATAATATATATGCCCATAATGTTACATTGGAATAGAAACTTCACCACAATATTCAAAATTCAACTTCTATTATCAGATTTATACAGGTTTAATGAGCAACATGAGTATCATCAGCATGTTTATTACATCTTTATTACACCTCATTACACTCTGGAAGCTGCTCTCACCTAGAAAATCTTATTACAGGGTTTCTCTGTAATTTAGTAGAAGGAAAGCATCAAAGTCTACAGTTTAAAGTAGTACAAACAAAAACCATAACTGTGGATAAAGAGAGACAGAAACGTGGTCTTGAGAATGAAGAGAAAAGCATCATGATCTTCTCTCAGGGATCGTAGGCTGGGTGCTGTTCTGTGAGAGAGCAGCTCCTCTGATTGGGTGAGCGGTGATGATGCTGCCCCCCATCAGCTTTAGAGGGCTCACATTGCTTCCTGCGGTCTGCAGTGTAAACTACAAGTCTGGGCCTGTAACTCTATGAATGTAAGAGATGAAGCAGAAATAAGACAAACAGTTTTGAATGATGATTTATACTCATTTTAATTACTGTCCAGTCTGGTTAATCCCTTTCAGACCACATCTAAATGAACAAACAGCACAACAGATCAAAATGTCCCCGTTACTGTCCTGTTTTCAGCAGTGTTGAGTTCAAGTGTGTCCTCACTGATCAACACTGAAACAGTGTTCTGTGTTTGAATGTGATTCACTGTGTGTGGGTTCAGCCTCAGTCTGTGTGTGTTACCCTGAATATGGTCCCTGAATCTAAACTCTACATGAGTGCAGATGCTCTCATGAAACCACATAAGTCCGGATAAAAGGTCCTCACCCTTGATGAGGACCCTGCTGATTAAACTGATCAACTCTGCTAATGTGTCTCTGTTCTGTTCTGACGCTAAACTAATGTAGCCTCATTACTGTGTGATGTGCTGTTGTGTCTATACTGTAACACTTTCTGCTTTTTCTGTACATTTGAAGATTCTGAGTAAGAGTTGAATAATAATTTTTGCTCTGTTTTCCTCGAGTCATTAAAGGGTAAATGCTAAACCACTCTAAATCCTCCCATTTGAACAACAACAGTAAAATCCCTTAATAATGTAGCTCAGAAGAAGATGCGAAAACCCCAACATGAAACACAGCGAGGGGGTAACACAGGAGGACACGACCCACGAAGAGGGTGAACACTTCTATCCGCTGGTTACACTCTAAACTACACACCCCCTCAGATCCTCACTGTAATGCGGCCCATGGAGAGCGACACAGTGTAATAACATACAACAAGACTGGCCTGAGAACAGACAACATTCCTGAACTCATTTCATTTATTTATTCGTTTAGTCGTTTATTACTGAGTGAATATTTCAGTTCAGTCCATCTGTAAACAGTTCAAGTCAGTATTTAAGATAATGTAGTAAACGTTCCTCATTCAGAGCTGAAACTCTCTGGAATGCAGTGTTGAAGCTCTGCATGGCTTCATGAAAGCAGTAGAAGCTCTGATCTGATGTTTTCTGTGGAAATGCAGGTGTGACCTCCTCAGTTCTGGGTGGGTGAGATGGTGTGGGAGTGTCCTTCATCCTCCAGGGGATACAGGTCACACATACGTGAGTGTGAGAACATTTCTGTGGAGCGTCTCTGTGGAGAAACAGAAATTCCAGTGAGCCGTTAAAACAGCAGATTATACACACAACGATCATATAACTGTGATTATTAAACTGATTTATGTGAAGCTGAGCTGATTATAGAGAAGAGAAGAGCTTTATTATGTGGATATTTTGATGTATTTTGACCTGCAAAGTGTTTTTCCACTCAGTCAGTGTCTGTCAGGTCACACTGTGGATTTACATTTTAATGAATCTGACTGGAGTAATAACTGGATATGAATACAGCACTGAGAATCATAGTTTACTGTAAATCACATTATAAATTCCTACATCAGCTTCATAAACTTGAGATATTTAATCAGACAGTTTTCATTCTGTTGTTGGTTTTATGTAGAATTCCTACATTTTAAATCACATCTATAAATATCTACATATACAGAATATATAATGTATAATATCAATATCATGAGTTCAAAATGACTTCGCAAATAAAAATCCATGTATTTTATTAGAAGATGTGTCTCGTTGTCTTTTTCCATTAAAATGAAAAACTCTTTGAAGTGCATTTCATAACGAATCTTCCCATATCAAAGTGAACAACGCGTCCACTGTTTACTTATTTCTGCAGTGTTTTAAAGGTGTTTTATCTGCTTTAGTCCTGCTGTATTACTGCACTGATGAAGGGAATCTGAGAACTGCTGCACAATATTCAGCTCTATTGTTTATTCAATAATGATGCAAAACATTTCATAATATAATGCATAATAGGGAAAAATAAACATGGGTCAATGACAAATAAGGAGTTATTATTTAATGTTTTTGCATTTTTATTTAGATATTTTTAATTGACTTCCATTCATTTAACAACTGTGACCATGTTGGTTTCCTATGTTGTTAAATAACTTTGATATGACTGTCATCAAATTTTTGATAAGATTAAAGAAAATATCAAATATTAATTAATTATTAGTTTTTGAGAACAAATGTTTAACCATTTTTAACAATTTATTGATTTTGGGGGCATTTTAGAAAAATGTGTTGCATATTTTAGCTGCCAGGTTTGTGTTTCTATAATGCCACTGTTTCTCTTTAAACTCCAGGAACAAATCAGAGAAAAGACTGAGGCTTTTTAGCTCCTGACCGGCTCTGTCCAGCTGACAGAGAGCATTAGAAGAGCCCCGACGCTGGACACTTTAAAATCCGGCCTGAAAATGTTCCTATTAGAGCAGCTTTCAGCTCTGTGTAAACACTGTTAGTGTTTCTAGCCCCTGTTCCTCTGTAATGGCAGTTTATTATCCTAATTTAATTTCTAATTTGATTTTTAATGTAATGATTTTCTATTTTAAATCTAGTTCACACAAACAATAAAATAAAAGAACTATTTAACAAAATCTACCCTGAAAACATAACATTTTCTCATTGT